AACAAGGCCCTCTTAGGTAAGCAGTGACCAGGCATACGTAGCACGTGCCCGAGCCAACGCAACCTTTTCAGTGCTATCTATTTTTCCAAGCAATTAGCATGATTAGCACTGCCTAGTACTCGCCTTTGCACATCATCGTTGCGGACACGCTGGTGCCATCCGACTCCAGTAATGTTTCGCAGACAACGATGATCAAAGACTTGAAGGCGCTTCAGGTCTTCAGACCGAACGGGCCAAGTTTCACTATCATAGAGCAGAACGGCCCTCACTGTTGCCTTGTATACACGGCCTTTCAGACAAGGAAATTCCCTTCTGTCGCCAAAGATGTCGCAGGTTCAAGAAGGCGGCTCTCGTTTTTGCAATGCGTGAGCTGACGTCAGTGTTTATGCGCCCATCGTTGCTAATGCAGCTGCCAAGATAAGTAAATTGATCAACCAGGGTCCAGGGGTCATAAAGTGGCTGGTGGTCCTACAGCAACACTTTGCACTTTGAAGGTGGGAAGTGCACACCAAATAATGGGACCACTCTAGACAGGCTATTCAGGGTTGGTTGTGCCGTCGCAACATCGTCGAAAAGCAAGACGATATCGTCCGCATAATCAAGATCAACTAATCTTTCACCAGGCAGCACTTCAACGCCAACATCGTGAGATTCCGCAAGGAAACACTCCATGATAGAATCCACGATGAAATTGAACAAAAACGAGGAAATCGGACAACCCTGACGAACGCCACTTGTGGTCGGAAAGCTATCCCATAGGGCACCGTAGACCCTGACGCGGCCTGTAGTGTTCGAGTATAGAGAACGAAGGATGTTCACATATGTCATGGGAACACCTTTCCGCGCAAGTATTCCGAACAGAATAGATCGATCGACTGAATCGAACGCACACTTGAAATCGATGAACACAGCTATTGTTGGTCTGCGGTATGCATCGCGCTGCTCTAGCACCAGCCGCAAAGTGAATATATGGTCTACACAGCCACGTCCTGGGCGGAAACCGGCCTGCTCTTCCCTAATCCGAGATTCCCGTTCTGCAGTGAGGCGACGTACGAGAATCGAGGTCAGTAATTTTGTTACAACTGGCGTTAGGATAATACCCCTGTGGTTCGCAGTCTGTGTGACTGCCTTTCTTGTATATTGCCACTATATAATCGATTCGCCCCAATTAGCCGGGACACTTCCTTCCAGATACGTTCGAATAGGGAGGTCAGTGCTTTGCAGAGGACCTCGCCTCCATCTTTTAATAGTGCGGGTGGGAGGAAACCCGGGCCAGCGGCACGGAAACGATCGAGGGCTGTGATCGCGTTTCGGACCTCCGCCTCCGACAGAGGCTCTAAACTAACCGCCCATGGCTCGTCCTGCATCACCTGAGTAGGAAGAAGTCCGGGAGCAGGAGGCCAGCTGAACTGATCTTGAAAGTGTTCCGCTCCACGAGCCATACGGCGTCCCTTATTGTGTATCAGTGCACCCGCGCTGTATCTGATTTTCTCACTGACGCCTGGTTTCCTGGGACCAGTGGTGCGAATCAGCTGGAAGAGCTTGCGATAATTGCCTACTGCTTCTGTCTCCTCCATTTTTGAGCCCTACTGGTCCACCAGGCTTCATCGTCAGCAAGTAGGGTCCGCTTTAGTTCACGCCTAATAGCCCGTCTGGTCACACGGTGCTCTGAACCAGCCGGAAGGTTTCTTCCAGATTCCAACAGGTTCCCTGACCGCTTGGATATCCAGTGACCGGTGCGGTGACGATGGATAGTGCCAAAGGCAGATGCTCCTGCGTCGTGCATGGCGGCTGAGATCCTATTCCACTGAGGCTCAGTGTTATTAGGACAAGACAGCGAAAATCCGGTTTGCACTGCGTCTTGATAGGCTTGATTGACCGAGGGTTGAGACAATTTCTTAATTTTCAGAAAGGTAAAACAGTGGGTCCCCTTCAGCCATTTGGTCAGAGCAGTGCGAAAACATAAGTTGCGATATGTTAGCATTTCGATTGTTCTCATCAGTCGCAAACACAATACAAGCGGGATTCACGGACAGTTATATACAGGAGGAAAAGTTAGCACACCAATCAAAATGTCAAAAGCACGACCACGGTAACCTAATTGATTGTCTCAATAGTTTCTGTGCACACAACACAGGTTGATAAGCCCTAATTAGCAAAGCCTCACTAATTGCCAAGATTAATGGAGTGTTGTTGCGTAATAACACCTTGAACGCAGTCTCCAGGTTCACCTGATGTCGGGTTGCCGAGAGATGCTTAGTGATAGATGAGGCGGGACTCCTGTTCATCCTCGGATCCACTCCGTTCTGTTGCGTCATCAGTTGTTCCAACCACCTCGGCACATGCTCAGCTACCCTCTGAGCTAACTGACGGTCAGTCCTGCCTATGTAAATGTCACCGCAACCGCAGGTGAACTGGTAAACGACGTGAGAGGCCGAACTGACTGATGAGTTTCTCTGACGGTCATGAAGAACAAGGCTTCGCGTTGTATGTATGAGTCGCAACTGGGCGGTCGCGTAGGTGCGCGTAATGGCGGACCGGAGTTTATGTCCGATATCATTTGATACGTGGTCTCCTTTGAACGGCAAGAACAAGTAAACATTCTTTTTCTCTGCGGTTAACACCGGTGTTTTCTCCTTGGGAGGCCTGATGTGGATCTGAATGAACTTCTCAGGATACCCATTGGACACCAAGGTTTTAAACAAAAATTCTTCAGCTTGCAACATTTCGGAGCTGCATATTCGTCTGGCTCTGTAGAAAAGCGTTTTCACTAGGCCACGTTTGTATGCGACCGGGGCAAATCTGGAAAAGTGGAGGTACTGCCCGCTCCAAGTTGCCTTTCGATGGACCGTAATAATAATAATAATAATAATAATGTGTCAGCTGTACGCCGTAACGGCGCTTCGCTGCCGTGCGACCACCGCCAGTCGCGCGCGGGCTGAGTATACCGCGAGGACGCCCACCCCTACGCGGATTCGAACCGGTGACCTTATGGTTGCAAAGCAAGCGTGCAGACCACTCGGCTACCGGCCACCGTGCGCTGTAGTGTACCATCGGTCCGTCTCTTAATGAGTATATCCAAAAATTGCAGACTATCATGTTGCTCCAACTCATGGGACACTGATAGATTTGGATGAATTGAATACAGAACTGTGGACAACCGCGCAAATTGTGCGTCGCTGGTGAAGACCAGGATGTCATCCACATACCGCTTGTACAACGTAGCTTCACAAATGCTGGCATTAACTTGTCTTTCTATCAAACCGAGAAAGATGTCTGCTAGTACTGGTCCCAGAGGGCTACCCATGGCGACGCCGTCGCTCTGTTTATAAGCAGTCCCCTCAAACTCGAACCGTATATTTTCCGTGCACTACCTTCTTGAATCTGCGACATCTGTTGCGACAGAAAAGTGCTTCCCTCGGTCGGAAAGGCCGTGTTTACAATGCCAGTGAGGGGCGTCCTGCTCTATGAGAATGAGACTTGGCCCCTTCGGTCTGAAGATTTGAGGAATCTTCAAATCTTCGGTCATTGCTGTCCGCGGAACGTTGCTGGTGTCGGGTGGCACCAGCGTAACCGCAACGATTATGTGCGTAGGAGCGTGCTAGGCAGTGATAATCAAGCTAGTTCCTTAGAACAACAGATAGCACAGAGTAAGTTGTGTTGGCTTGGGGACCGCCTACCGAGGGCCGCATTGTTTGCGAGGTGTACGACGGCGCAAGATTCGAGGTGGACAAACACTGAGTTGGCAGCGGGAAATGGAGTGGATGACGACCAAACTGTGCCGTCCGTCCGCCTCGCCTTCCGTGATGCAGTTCACCGTACTCATCTTGCGCCTGGCTCGGGAGTTGGCAGGATATGGTTCACAGTCGTCACCATTGGTGTGTCTACTGTTGTATCCTAGTTTGACTGCCTGTTTATAGTTTAGTGCTACTATCTACGGAGTAATGGCTGATTATGACAAAGGGCAGTAAAAGTCAGAAGGAAGCTGTCTCGCTGATGTTACATTGCCTTCGCGAGATAGCCAACTGTTTGTGATGGTGTGTTGTAAACAACGTGTAGGCGCCTTGACCCTGCGTGTTTGCTTACGGCACTAAGGTCCCCGTTATCTATCCCTCCCTTATTATTCTGCCTGCCGTACGTCGTGTGGCAGCGAAGCATCAGTTCAAGTGGTCGGTGCACTGCTGTTGATGATTATGATGAAAAGGAGCGCAAACTATACGCCAGCGCCAACTTTCAGTCTCGACGTGATGAGCATACCGGAATGCTTCTGGTTGATTGTATTGGTAATTATCTGACACTACCAATGGATGTGGCCACATTCAGTGGTCTTTTAATATCCTTAACAACGGAGTAACGCTAGAGGCACTGCCATTGTAAACCCCACCTCATTAGCTAAACAAATGCTCGATTGTGAAAGCCACGTTTGCTCTATCGCTCAATATCTCCAAGAGTCAATCGTTTACCACTATAAATATGCAAAAAGCTGTGCTTACATGTAGTACATATGACAGGCGTCTTCAGTTCAACCGTTGCTAGTTTCATCGAACTGGATGTAAAAAGGCACTCGTCGTACAAAAAAAATTGAAATTCACTATGAAAAAGAGCACTACAGCTGCTCCATATTCTAAGAATAACCTAGTCTAGATAATTAGTAGAAACCTTTGTGAAGTCTTCGTAAGTCACTAGGCCACTATCCAGATGAGTGGCCTAAATAGTCACCAGGATTTGCTTCAGTAAAACCACCATAGCAGAACTCATTACTTCAGCGAGAACAACTGAAATTGAAGACCTCAATACGTATGGTCATAGCTGCATTAGTATTAGAGGATGGTTAGAATAAGCATAGTACAAGTGCTGCCTAGAGGAACAAAGCGATCTGAAGCCAAGTAACGCGACAAGAACCCTAATGGTGTGGTCCTGATTTTCGTGGCAAGTAAAAACCAAAATTAGTATTTTAGCACGTTTCAGCACAAAAGATCCTTTGTATCCAATTGACCTACCTGGCGCTGGAGGCAGGGAGCTCAGTCTGCCGCAACAGCCTTCCAGGATCGTCAGAGTTCTGACTACCGCTAGCGAGAGCTGATCTACTTTGCTTGTTGACATGTGCGTTTTGTGTAACATGCACGGGCTGTCTTGAGGCCATTTGTGCCCAACTACAGGGCAAGGATTGCGAATTGACAAGCACGTTCTCCTCTGAAGCAACAGGCTGTGGACTATCGGGTGGATGAGAGACCAGCGGAGAATGCTCGTCAACTGGTTTTGATACTTCGACAGAAGCCGACTGCGAGTGACTAATATCCGGAGCTTCCATGGGAAGTGAGTAAGATTCCGAGTACTTGACATCTAGAGGAACGCCGTTTTCCCAAGACGTATCACGAGTATTATTGAGATCCGGCGCTCCGTTGTTTGGCGGGCCACAGGGGTTTACTTTCGATGGATGCTCCAAAAGGTGATCAGAAGAGCCGGTATCTATGGAAAGCGAGAACTAACCAAATTGCGAATACCTTCTATGTTAGTCTTCGAAGTCGCGTCGCCGTACACGCGATCCTGGTAGCTAAAAATATCATTCAAGACATAGAAATCACAGGGAGCTTGCTCGCAGAGAACAAAGCTCTGAGTGAACCGTCGAAGATTCTCCCCATTAATGCTGATTTCACCCGCGACCTGTAGGTTGTGGAAATTAGGGGTTACAAATTACCTGAATGAGCACACTGTTGCCAATGGCACGAAGAGCATCAAGTCTCAGAATTCCAACGCGTGAATCAAATATATTCATACTCATGATCTTCTCGTGGATGAGCTTTTGGCCAAACACAGTCACATCATCCCGAACCATTGAAGAGTCATTTTTGTAGAAGCGATGCAGCCCAGATGGGTACTTCTTCATCACGGTGTAGTACTGAACAACAAACTCCCCGGCAAGGTTCAGGATATCGTTGGGATCCATGCGACTCACGATGAAAGAACCTCCTAGAGAGGCACACGCGTCCCCGGCACCCATCTCGCTGTAGAAACGGGGACTGTGACACTGATCGGTATGTAACTGTTAATTGGGTTGTGCGAATATCCACTGATAGACAAAAACCTTAAATTCGTACAAGGTTGACTGTTATTCGCAAGCGCAGCCACGCGTTGCACTCATAATATACAAAATAGTGAGTATAATATTAAACAGTCAATATGTGATGCTTCAGCATTCGCACAAACTTGAAACATTTGCATACCTACATATCCCATAACGTTTCTGAATATATACGCATCCATACTATTTCCAATTAAATCGGAAATAATCGGCGTCAGTACGCCAAATTCAACGAATTAAGTTGGTGATTCTGACTAACTCGTAGAATGCATCGAAGTAGACCTTGCTTTATCCATTCTTAAAACTACAACTTTTACTAATTTAAGAAAGAAAGGTAGCTTTAAGACGGCGTAGACAAATATGCAGAACTGTGTCTGGTGGTCTGCTGATACCATGATACTACACGTCACCGATCGCAAGACACGTTCCCACTGATGGTAACACGGTATCGCAAAATGCGCTTTACCATGTCCTATAAAAAATTTTCTAAAATACCTGGTAACTACTATATTGATGCATTCGTTTCGTTTACACTTGGATGAAATCCGCGACAAATATATCCATAGTTTTGCTACGGAGTGCCATTTGCAGCACGTTGGCACTGTAGAGCGCAATGGTCTGAGTGGAGACTGTAACGGGTCAACTGAGCTGAAAAGTGAGAAATTATCCTACTTCGCTGGTTGGTATGTTAGTTTCGGTACGTGGACGCGCAGAGAAATGCGGTTGGTCTGTGAACCAGCTGAAGCAGATACCTTTATGTATGATGCATTCTCCGCGGTTAACGAAGCGTATAACTCTCGAGGCTCAGACTTCTGCATCCTAACCCGAAAGTACTGTCGACATCACTACAAAACAGGAGTGCGTTGTAGACAGGTTAGAAGCACGGAGGTCTTTAGGTGTATGGAATGAACCCCCGGTTATGCGGGCCGTGGTTGGAGCTACGTCGGCTGTGGCTGGCAGGGAAGTTATGCTAGCCAAGCGTCGCTCGTCGAATGTCACACAAAAGCGCAATGTTTAGCCAAGTACTGTGGTGCGTAAGCTAGGTACCTACAACTTACAACTTACTGACGAACAACTTTCCTTTTTCGATGCATCAGGAGGAAGCGTAACACCTGTCAAAATATCACGTACCTAAGCGCTCAAGTAGTAAAGGACATATAACACGCCTATCGTTAGCTACGGGATAGACTAAAAATCCATAAACTGCCTGCAGGTGGCTAAATGTTCCGTTAAGGAAAATAGGATGAGGTGGGTTGCAACGAGTAACTGGGTACCCAGGAAATGTAATCGTCCGCAACGCCATAAACGTAGTGCGGTGTGGTCTCAGCGGAGGATGTAGCAAGACAATACGGCTTAAAGAGTGAGCGATATTGCAATGTCTAGGTTTACTATGAGAACAGTACACCAAACCAAAATAGCCGAGTAGCGAATTGAGAACCCGGCAAGAAGACGGAGGTCTACATTAGCAGAAGTGTGCCAAAATACATACACTTTTCCTGATAATCAACCATCGCTAAGATACCGTTGTTTGTGGACTTTGCCATCAGAGAAACGTAACCTGAGCTGCGCATACTAATGACGCTTGGAGAACCGCGTCATCCGTTTTGGCGCTAAGTCGACCATGATCAAGCTAAACAACCCAGTGGTCAGAATCACTTCACATGGCTGACCACCTGCTGTGTAATAACTGCAGTCGTACGTGCGTTTGTGCGCGACTTTGACTATTCATTGGACACTCTCTTTGACCAGCAAGACAGCCAGCTTAGAAGCTTAGTACATTTTGTTATTGTGCCGCTTGCCACGCTTTCCGTTGCATTGCCCAACATACTGAACAAAATGAACCGCGTAATTTGCGATTATAACACGGTTGCTCCTCCTCCGTTCAGTAGCTCACTTCCGTTGGACGTTTGCGTTATTCCGGATTCTATGCAACCACAATTGGTGTCGCGATTAGTGCGAAGTTCTTTATGAAACAGCTTTAGTAAATCGCTGGAACAATATACTTTCCCAAAGGAATTACGTATAACTCGACAGTTTGAGCGATGGATGCTCATTCAGCATGAATTGCAGGAAGAATTATACACTGCATTTCTGCCTAATGTTAAACGCAACGCCCACGTATCTTTGAGGTAGTTGGCATACCGCAAGTAACTCCCGAAACGTATGGAAGCATGTGGGCTCATTACTCGACCATTTGCTTCTAAAACCTCTTTGATCAAATAAAGAGCAATATTTGCCGTCCCGCTACCTCAACCAAACCAGTCTGTTCGCGATAGCATTTTGCAGCTGCATACGCGAGCCACTTGCTGAGTGCCACCGGGTGAGTATTAAGCAATTAGTTAGTTCCGGAAAGAAAACACAACCCTTTGACGGCAGTTGATTTCGCTTCCTCCTCCAACCCACACGGGTCTTTACCTGCTATGTGACAATGTTGAAAATGTTCACAAAATCTCAAATTGCGAACCTTTCAATCAGCAGGACTAGACGTGAGCCATAGAGGAGACAAGCTTTCGCCTGACTGGTGTTTCGTGCGTCAGTAAACGAGCAGTGCTCCCAGTACTTCGAGTTGGTAGAAGAAACACCCGGAAATAGAAAGGAAAGGCAAAAGGCCACAGCTGGCAAGGGTCTGACCCCACCCTTCTCTGTCTGTCTTACTTGTATGTTCCACTGATGTAGCGCACCTTAGGGCGGAACACTTAAATAAATAAATAAATGGTATGTTCTCGGTAAAACGAGACGCACCTGTAAAGGCGTGATCAAATATGCATACAAGCATAGCTTTTTTGGAATGTTAAAACTTTACGTTTTAATAAAATGAACAAATGAAAAGATGTAGCCCATATGAGTGAGCATATTGTCAGGTAACAGTCAGACCAAGGAACATGATGGCACTGTGGCGCGTAAAAACCAGTCGTAATTGTTGCGTCAATATACAAGCTGGGGGTTATTTCGCCATGTAGTGGTCCATGAGCACAGGTGCCCAAAAAAAGGTTTTGGTGCAATCAATGACCTTTACGAAATCAGAATGAACTGTGCTCCATCAAAGCATCCTTCATAGTAAAATCAGTTGCAAGGGTTGAATGTAGAAGGCTGACGACTGCGAAGTGTGAAATGTTTAGCGGTGACTTCATTTTGTGGCTATTCACATCCGCCACGTTGCAGTGTTTTTAAGCGGACATTTGTGGCTTTTTATAGGGAGAACGCTTGCCAGGCGAAAACCCACCACGTCCTGGAAAACTGCCGTAGCATCCGTTGAACAGTAGTGCCAGTCGGCTATGCATCGCATAGACCGATGTTGCACTCTAAAGTTCGCAGTCGGTTGACAGCCAAAATTCTTCCTTGGTTGGCCGAATGGCTTAGTATTGATCCGGCAGTAGTCGTTGAAGCCGGTCAATGATGTAAAGGAGTAGCAGTGTTGAATGATAAATGATGCAGGTGAGTAAACACATTGTTAATAGAGGCCGGTTTTTTCTATTATATTCTTGTCCGGCTCGTAAACAATGTCTAGCTATCAACGCTGTACTTGTCCTGGGGACGGTGAGTGCAGTTGTTACTTGTGGCTGAATATGTCCATAACTGACGAAAATGCCATTCTCCGCAAAGTGGGTTCGGAATTCCTTCAAATGTAAGTAAGTGTAATTGTCTCCATGGCCGTGAAAACTCCATGAAAGGCCATCGGAAAAGCCAGTTATAAAAGCTCAACGCTGTCCGTGAAATGACATCTGAAAAGCTCCAGGTGACTGGAGCATCGGCATGCTTGAGGCAGTGAAGGAAATCAAGCCAGAATTGTTTGTCCCCGGTTGGGAACACGGGATCCATATAAATATTTTATTTCAGGTGATTAAATTGTTCTACTGTAAGTACGAGGCGAGCTAAACACAAATGTTTAGAACACTATGGCGTTTCTGAACATCATAATCCGGTAACCAGGTACAATTTCAGTGATGGCTATGCAAAAGCTTTATCGATACAACTGTAGTACGTAATCCCTTCCATTCTCCCCACTGTTCTTAACAGTGAACGGCTATCGTCCGTGTTATACATTACGATAGATAGCGGCTTCTGCTTCACAGTCAAACATGCTCCCCTAACTTCCACTTCACCGACTTGTTGACTCATATGCTTTATTGTAGTAGTCCACCTTGGAGTGCAACACTTCATATAATTCGTCGCTGTTGCCCAGTTTATTCCGCTGCTCCAGGTCCGTTGCACAGCTGGCACCGCAACTGTGCTCTCACTATAGTTGTGGTATGTGGTCCCGGCTATTATCGCCCCTGGTTTCATCTTTGAAGGCTTATTAGTATGTGCCACATCCCTAGATAGCGCGCGGCTCCTGCTTCCCGACTAATCCGGCACGCAACCCTACGTTTCGCTGCTGCGTATTAGTTGTACGTCCCTGCTACAGAAGCGAGTCTTGTAGTAAATACCTGGCATCTGGAGCTGCTGCCTGTGTTATTCCCGTACCCCTGGTCTCTTCCAGATCTGGCTTTACAACTAATTTCCCGCGACAGCCGTTGCATGTAGTCCTGGCTGTTCTCCCACTTATTTTAATAGTTCATACACCTTAGAACATGTTAGGGTCTAACCCAGCGTGCCAATGTTACTCATTAATTAATTGGGCTGCCAGCAACTCATGCCCCAGCCGTCTATGTCACTACTAGGTTCTACCGTGAACTTTCACTTTAGAATGGAACACTTAGATCCTTTTGGCGAGGTCGAACATAGTATTCTGGTATTACTGGTCCCTTACAGAACTACCTCTGCAACCGTTTCTTCGCCACAGCCGTAGTATGTTCTCCCTTCAATTCTCACACCTGCTTTTAACGATGACCGCCTATAAGTCCGTGCCTCGGCATGCGATAGCGAGCGGTTTCTTCCTCACAGTTAATCCGGCTCCCAGTATAACTCTTTCCTGCCGTCTATTGGATTTGTATGCCACACTATATAAATCCATCTAGGAGTGGAACGCTTAGTTTCCTTTAGCGCTGCTGCGGATCATTTTCCGCTATTCCAGGTCCTTTTAAGAGTTGGCTTTGCAACCGTATTCACGCTATAGCTGTAGTATGTAGTCCCTTC